GTCTTTCGACCACTCAAAGCGCTGTACACTACATTTCACACTCACACACTGATGGCAGCAGCTGCCTTGCAAGGTACCAACTGTTCATCCGAAATCACACACATTCACAGCATCAAGAGCAATTTGGGGTTCAGTATCTTGCGCAAGGACACTTCAACATGCAGTAAAGAGGAGCCAGGGATTGAACTGCCAACCATCTGATAAGGGGATGGCCTGCTCAACCTTTGAGCCACAGCCACCATTGGTAATGCAGGACCCAGTTGATATTGTACCCCGTGGTGCACAGATCAGCCAAAAATTTGCCATCAAGTTATTAAGTTAAAAAAAAACCCACTGAAACACAGTAAACCTGGGCCTTTGGGACCTTGGAGGTCGGGGCCAAAAGGTAGTTGACTGCCTGAAATGAGTTTGGCTGGGAATGGAACCTTCAAAACTGGACCAATCATCTGATAGTTGATTTTAACTGTGGATGCAAATACACCTCTGTTTCGATACATACAGACAGCACTGACCTATTTCCATGCCGTTGGATAGGGCTACAGTTCCAGGGGGGTGGATGAGAGTTATATTGAAAACGGCTTTCATAGCTGGCTCATCAAAACAAGGGAAGGTCTTCCTGGCATGAGTTGGATGCATCTGAGAGGTGGCAACAATCCTGAGAATGAGCAGAACATTCTGAACACAGTGCCAATGAACACAATGTAGGCATCTGAAATATTCTCACCAGACCAAATGTAAATAGCGATATAGAGAGACATAATAGAGAACGTACTTTCGGACTCCATCTTCCTCATATTCACTCCGGTAAAAGCCTGCCAAGTCATCAGCTAGTTCTCCAGTGAACTCTGTGTACAGCTCATACTTCTGTCCTTGAGTTAATTTACTATTGAGCTGGATAACCAGATACTGGGTCTCAGACTGCAGCCTGCAGGACTTAATTGTGGGAGCAGATCCACCACCTGTGGAAGAAATAGAATTATGGGTAAAGAAAAGTGATATAGGATAATGTAGGATGCCAAGTCCTACCAAAAGAGTCTTGCACATATGCATTACTAGAGATGTATTCATCACATGAAACACATGAAACATTTACTTTAAAACATCTTTTAAAAAATGGGTAATATGAAGGCCAGTAAGGACCAGACCACTTTATCGTAATACATACGGTAGGAATTTTTCTTCTATTACAGTAAAGGGATATTAGTAATGTTGAGTTGTAATCCATATTTTACTGTTGGGTTTTACCATAATTTATTTTTACAGTGTTTAATTTCTATATATTAAAATTAACTGTAATGACAGAAACACTGAGATAAGGTATTACATAAATGGTAAATAACTACAAAATAAGTATCAAATTAACATGTGAAAAGCTAATATGGAAAAGCTGCTAACATTGAGTCTGTCTTTTTCTATATGTGTGGGTATAGGCGTGTGTGTGTGTACATTACCTGAAGCGATGAGCCTGGCAATGTGTGTGTCGTTCAGCTTAGTGTACTTGAGTTTGTTGGAGTGGATCAGGATCAGATCAGTTTCTTTCACGCACTTAAACATCAGAGTGGATCGGCCTGGTGAAAGCAAGGAAATGACAAAGACATTCATTCTAGATCCTGCATCTTGCTAACAGTCAAAAACACATAATGGGGGTCTGTGGTTCGGGTGGCAGAGGTTCGATTCCAGTAGAAATGTCCTTGGGCAAGATACTGAATAGAAAAGGTGTGATTTTTTTTTTTAGTATGATTTTGTGCATTTTGGATAGGACGCTCTGTATCACTCTTGATGAGCAGTTTGCACTGGCAGAGTGTGTACCCTCTGCTATCAGTGTATGAAAGTGTGTACCCTCTGCCATTCTCCACCAGCAGCAACTTTAAGAGACAAATAAACAATATGTTCTGTAAATAAGAAGCCTTGTTAATCACCTGTAAAAATGTAGAGGCCGGAACTTGGTTCAGGGCTGAGGCGAGGCCACAAGGTGATGTTGTAGCAGTCAGGGACCAAATCAGTGGGAAGACGAAAGCTTAGGGGAATAAACAGAAAGGTCATTGAACTGAATGAAATCATGTGTTTACTTTGTTGATTTATACGACTGTAAAGTAGTAGTGAAATAGAAAAGATGACAACTGCTTACATAATATAATCCATTGTCATTATTCTACCAAGTCTGGATATATTCATATCCATGTAGCATTACTGACTGGGAAACTGCTTCATAATGTTTTATGAGTCACAGTGTGAGAAAAATCCCGCAGTGTGATTATAGTAATAAAATATATATGATCTACCGTAAAGATAAATATTGATATATTGCCAAGTCGAAGCATGTACATCTTTATTTGCATTAACAAAATTGCCATCACCTGCTAGTAAAACTTCAGTCATCCTAAATAACACAAAAGGTCATTTGTCATCACAATCCGAAACAACTCGTATGAGCATCTTAGACTATTTTCTGACACTTTCACTGTCTCCTAACAGTAGTACATGAGACAGATCATTCCTAGCCTACTTAAGTTATGACAATGAAGACAATCAGAGAACAATTAATTATGATTTCAGCTGGCTTGAAACATGTGGAGTGCATATAACAGGGGGTTCTGGGTAAGTAACCCCTAGGTTTGGGCTAAGCCCCAAATATTTACAATGTCTGGCTCTGCAACTGCTCGTAAGCCCCTCCCCTTAAAATCAGCTTTTCAATGAGCACAGAGAAACTTTCCACTTTCAGCAGATGATTTTGAAAGCATCCTTCTAGAGTCAAACTCTGCACCGACAGCATTCAAACAGCACACTGTAGAAACAAGAGGAAATACTGATTTCTGATTGTTGAGACTTCACTGAACAGCCAAAGACATGATAAAAAAGACGATGGGTGTCTCACCACACTGCACAACACTTGGTGGTCTCCATACATAGACAGTTAAAAAGAAATACATACAGATACAATCATGTGAAATCTGCGTAGAACATAACATCAAATGGCCCAAAAGCAAAGTAAAACCTGTACAAATAGACAGATTCAACAACAAAGGCTGATGCCATAACAGTAACAAAAATTGATAAAATTGGAAAATTTGTTCTGATAATGGAACTCATTTTGACAATGCTGTAATGAGGAGGATATGTCAATCACTAAGAATCAAGAAACATAGGTTGGGAAGTGTGTACCATCCCCAATCACAAAAGCTAATGGGATTTTGAAGCAAAAATCTGCAGGGAAACTAAGATGGACTGGGTGACTGCATTGCCGCTTGCACTAATGAGTATGAGAATGCATACTAACAGAATAACCCATCTAACCCCGTATGAAATGCTAACAGGGCGACCTATGCCAGCATTGCATTTGAGAGGACCCCATAAGGGGTTGCCACTTGATTTGTTGATGAAAGAAATGTGCAGCTATGTCCATTGACTAACAGCCATGCATGAGCTTCTGTTGAAACAGGTCAAAGGAGAGACTGAGAACCTTGAGAAGTTCTTCCTGACGACACCACTGATAGGTGGAAGGAGGGTAATAAAAAAAAACATTGCAAACACCACAAAAGAGTGATAAGTGATAAGTATCCAGAGATATCCACTCTGTATTGGAGTGAAGTCATTTCAGAAAATTCTAACATGTTGAGACAAATCTTAGGAAGACGGTGTAAACCATCTAGCCTAGAGTGAGCTTGACCATATGAATTTCCTAACCTCTTAGAGAGCGAAGGTATACTGATGTTCCATTCTCCCAAGGTCCAGAACAGAAAAAATTAGATACTTAACCAGCTTACACTGTCCAAATATACAAGTAAAAGAAATTAGGACCAAGTACTTAGTCAATTATGCCCAGAGAATCTATTTGTCTAAACACATCCTGGACCACATAGCTTACATAGGAAGTGTACTAGAAGCATGTAGTTAACCTGCATAAGAAGGAAAATCGATCATCTAAAAAAAACAAAATGTAACAGGGTTTTTTATGTTTAGGCATAATGCATTTATATAAATTAATTTGAAGTTTTGGCATAAAATTGGAAGGTATCAGAGACAAAAGGGGAAATAATGTTT